AGTCATAGTATCAGACGTACCAGTACCAGTCATAGTATCAGACGTACCAGTACCAGTCATAGTACCAGACGTACCAGTCATAGTATCAGTAGAACCAGTACCAGTTGTACAGTAGAGTCTTACCGTGAGCAGCTCTGTAGGCTGAACCCAGGCAGGCCGAGTTGGACACGTCGATGGTGAAGACCGGAGCGTTAAACACATCAGACAAAACCTGAGAGACGGAGAAATGAAATGATTCTTCTTCTCTAAATCTGTCCCAGGTCTCACTGAATGACTCAGTTAATTGGGGAGGCTGTGGCAGAGGGGTAGAGTGGTCCGCAGTTCGATAGGTGAACTGTATGAATGTGTGAATGTGTGAATATGTGAATGTATGAATGTGTGAATGTGTGAACGGCTGTAAAGAGATTTGACTGTCGTCAAAACTAGGAAAGGTCTTTATAAATACATTTATCACATTGATCTGAATCAATAAAACAGATGACGAGCAGAGTTTCCACCGTCAGAGAACTAGATTCACAAACATCTGACACCTGATCCAGTTTAGATTGTGTCTCCGTGGTGTGAATGACCATCTACCTCCTGATGGTCGTCACGGTGAGAGGAAAAGGAAATGGAGGTCCAGAGAGGGGGGATTAAAAAACAAAAGGGTTCTTGGCTAAATACTAAAAGGTTAACAGTGACAGAAACTGTCAAAAGGTGCTTTATGAGGTCCAGATGTTTGTGACTGTACAGACTACAGCATCAATATACAATATTAGCCTACAGCATCAATATACAATGTTAGCCTACAGGATTAGCCTTCAGGATTTGCCTTCAGGATTAATATACAATGTTAGCCTACAGGATTAGCCTTCAGGATTAGCCTTCAGCATTAATATACAATGTTAGCCTACAGGATTAGCCTACAGGATTAGCCTTCAGGATTAGCCTTCAGGATTAGCCTTCAGCATTAATATACAATGTTAGCCTACAGGATTAGCCTTCAGGATTAGCCTTCAGCATTAATATACAAT